GGGGGAGAAGAGCAACGATAAAAGACTAGTAATAAACACTCACTAATTGACAAAACCAAACAGACAAAACAGTCTTGTTACACTCACTTTTGCAATCTAAGCCTGCCCTGTACTTTTCAAAGCCTTTCAACCTAACCCTCTGGCTGACAAGGCTGAGGAACTCTTCCAAGGCCGGACCTCCACTTTCTGGAACAGAACATTTTGACATTATTATACATCCCACCACTGACATATTTTCTTTTCCATCTGTTGAAAATCTGCTCGTTGACCACACTAAAAAGAACTCACTTTCACTGAAAAAGGAAGCTTTTATTCTTATAGAAGAAATCTTCCATCCAGACATTATGCTCTATAGTATCTGTACTAAAATGTTTACACATTGTGAGTAATCAGCAAATGTATACATATATTATTTTTAAAACATGATTTTTTAAAAATAATTTTTTAATGTTATACACCTCCATTGACATAGTTTAAGATAATTCATGAGGCAAACTTCTTCTCCCTTCCCTGTAACGACTAACCCGGCTGAGAGGGATACGGGATCCCTGCAGAAAAATGTAAATATTAGACAAAATTATTTGACCATGCCAGAATCAAACGAAGAGATTAACCATTCCATTACCCAACAAATTGCAGTTTAAAACCATGAACACATACAGTAACGTTATCAATTCTATGATAAAAGTAAGTGGATCGATGTAAAATGAAATAGCAAGACTCTCAGCAGAAAAGTAATGATGATTGTGTACAATAGTATGGACTTCTGTGCAAGTACTCACCATTATTGTACATTTCCTCTTCACTAGCTTGACCTGACTTGCAGTACATGATGCCCACTTTGTACGTGTTACTGATCTGTAACATTAAATTTAGAAATAATTTACAAAAATACTCAAAATGAAAACCATAACTGGAATATTTAATAGCGTTTTGAATAAACATTTAACCTTCCACCTACAAAAAAAATTGAGCCTTCTGATAAGGCAGAGAGCATGAAATAAAAAAATAAAAAATAAACCAAGCTCCCAGGTTCAAGAGAATTGTTGCTGGCAACAGTGGCTCAAAGCTACATGTCATAGCATGCATAAAAACTACATGTACAAACCATTTAGCAAGAGTTCCTCATTTCCCTCAACATCTTCATTACATAAAAAATACTGACATAACTACACTAACTGAAGAAAAACTGCTGTAACAAAACCGAGAGTCAGTCAATATGTGAGGTAGCGTGGTGGAATCAGGCTCTCGTCAAAATAATCAAAGTGAAGAAACTTGCATTTTTCCGCAGGTTTGTGAATTTTTATTAAATTTTTGTTTTTTGGCTCAACACCTTTCATGCCCATTAAAGAACTCATTTCTGTCTGGATTTTTCTGAAAAGCGTTGATTAAATGCACAAAAATGTAAATTTTCAATTACCACCGACTCTTAAGCTAAGGAAATAACTAATCTTTGGCGGGCATTTTCTCACTAATTTTACCTCTGAAAAAAGGTGACCCCCACCTCCTTCTTTCGCAAATATCTCGACTTTATTTCATGCAAATAAAGACAAGTGAACAAGCTTTAAGATGTTACCAATAACTCCACATGCCCAAAAATTGACGAGAGCCTGAATCCACCACCCTGCCTCACAAAGGTAACCACGGCGCACAACAGACGGTCAGACAAAATGTCATGAGAACAGTACACAACAGACCAGTCAGTCAACACAAGGTGGTCACAGGACACAACAGACGGTAAGTCAGTCCCTGCTCACCCCTTGCTCGTCCAGCTTGAGCAACTGCTCACAGGTCTTGGGTCCTGCCATGCCCTGGCGCAGACAGGAGAGCTGCACCTCGGGCACGGCCACTTCCAGGACGTCCTTGATGGGGATTCCCCGGGAGCTGCTCAGACGGGACGGGATGGCCTCCTCCAGCACACAGCCCCGCAGTGTGGTCAGCTGGGGCAAAGGACACAACAGGGCATGAACTTACACTCAAGACAGGGATAAACAGGACACTATTTGTCACTTGTTAAGAGAAAACAGCTAGCAACTGCAATCCTTCACTCTGACACAAGTCACTTTGAAAGTACACACAAAAAGTAGAAAGGCCAAACCTCAAAGGATACTAAATATAACAATAGCAATTAACAGTCATCATCTTCCATCTTTACCTGAGGGAGATAATTATACATACTTATCAACTGTAGGCAAACATGAATATATTATTATGCCTTCGACTCAAACATTCACATTCAGACCCAAGCTATTAAGTTGTAAATGAATACAACGACCGATTTATCAAACTTTATCTCAGCCACATATATTGTTCATGACGAAATGTAGATTCTTTAAGTTATGACTCTACCTTTTGTTCATGGATAGGCCTAATGACTATCACAAGTTTAGATCATTTGTCCTTTGAATTGGTTAGTACTACTTGTTAAAAATGTAATGAAACTAACCCTCCCCACACACACACTCACACATGATAATTTATCATGTGTGAGTGTGTGTGTGGGGAGGGTATAATAAACAAATAATCAAAAAGGCTGAATGACATATTATTTTAAACATGATGTCCTTCAGAATGCCCACAATCCAATGTATTGTATTTGAGGAAGTATAGTACTGTTACATTCAATTCTCAACATTGTCTATACAAAGAACCTCACTCTTGTACATGTCAAGCATTTGAGTTCCCTCCTCTCACCTCACTGGTTCTACAGATGATCCTGTACTGATTAGAGCCGTAGTCTGCCCTGCCCAAGTTGTTGGTTCTGTCGTCGAGGTCCAGCTTCTCTCTGCGCACACTGATGGCTACTGGACCCAAGTTCTCATCCGTTCCAAATAAGTTCTGGTGGTCTGAAGTACATTAGGTAGAAACATTAACATACATTCTATGGCTATATGTACTGTTTATCTTTATTACGAAGAACACACAACCACAATAAAAGTGAGTAAATGTCCATGCACTTAAATATTCAAGCATGCGTTTGTTTTTTGTTTTAGTAGAGGTTTTACAGCGCTCGCAACTGCATAAGGTCATATGAGCGCCAAGAGGTGGATGTCAATAGAGAGGTCCTTACAGGGAATCAGACTTACTCTGCTCACCTCTCTAGCCTCAACAGCACAAAATCTGCTTCGACTATCAAGGCACCCCGGAAATAGCGGGTTACAAGAGTGTGACAAACATACAAAAGAAGTAGAGGAAAAATGACCATAGTAAGGATTAGGACAGAAAAAGCAGCAGTTCCCTATTGCAGTTTAGGCACAGTTAAGAGCATGACATTGATGCATCAGCCCATCTACAATTACAATTCTACTGTGCATAAGAACTTGAGATGTTAATGTCCCCCCCTTTGGGATTAGCCAAAAGACACTTCAGTCAGTAGCACCGCCCCCCCCCCCCCCCCCCCATGCACACATGAACGCACGCACGCACATAGACATCCATACATCCATAGGAAAACAGCCCAGAACAGAAATGCCTGTAAAAGTGATCACTTCTACTGTGCCATGACTTCCAAGAACTTTACAGTAAGTATGCTGAGTCTCCTTTGAGTCTAAAGAAATTTACAACCATTACTCCACTTCAAAGAGTAGCAAGTTACCTCTGACACTCAGGTCTGTTGTTTCTCAAATGAACAGATTCTAATGTGTTTAATCAAGCAATTAGAATGCGTCTGTATCTTTATTTTCTGGTACAATAAACCAAGTGTGAAGTAACCCAGACAGAGACATCGTAAGAGAACTTTGGTAATCATCACATCAAAACTAGTCAGCTTAGAGATAAACATTTAGGAATTTAAGAAAAGGATGATGAACTGCACACATGTATACAACGTATGATAAAACACTGATTATGAAACTTTTTGTTATGATCTTTATTATTTTTTTCTGAAATTAAATCTTTTGCCCTATTTCACTTCAGATAGCAATCAGACCTTTCAAGCTGCCATTTTCTCCATTTTTACATGAACTCAACGTCTCGTTCCTAGTTTCCCGGTTCAATAATATTTAGAGTGCATAATTTTTTTTGCTGCCCTTTTAACTTTTTAGGCAGTCCTCCACTTTGGCCTTTCTTCTTTGCGGTTTTATAGCAATTAAAAATCTACAGTTGGCTTGTTAGGCCTGTCACGGTTTGACGATAAATCACAATTTTTTTAGGGTAACCTGGGTCAGCCTTTATGGCTAGCGTAGCATCTTGGTGACATAAAGCCACACTGTAGATCATCACAGCCTAGTACCTTGCTTTCTTTACCCAACCCAGAGTACATACATGACAAATATAAAACAGTTAATTCATCTAAGACAGCCTCCCATTGTTCAGAAGGAAAACGGCCGTCTTAGACAGGTGGACATCTTACATCGTGTCATTATGCTGCAAAAATTATCCAAATCGTCCCTCAAAACACGTACTAGCGTAAGCCACATTTTGTTAGTTTTGCTGGAGAGACGTTTAAAGATTTGGGCGATTTTCACCATCCCATTGTGGCACCAAATAGCCGATCCTATCCTTAATATCTTGACAAAACGTGTGTGGGACAACTATTTTTCAATTGGCTAGAAGCATCTTTGTGAGAATAGTAGGTTTTGAAGAAAAAAAGACCTTTTTGTCCGATACGCTAGTACGTGCTACGTCAATGACAGCCTCGATGTGTGGCTTACGTTACTAGATTGTTGGATACGTTTGTACGTGCTTTTGTATTCTAAAGCATATTTACGTTCATTGCGTGGCTTACGCCTAAATGGTAACTTCCAAATAACAGTAAAAATACAAAGAAAGATCAATTTGGTTTAAATTCACGGGCAGTATTATCCGTGACAAATGATAATGTTAACAGCAACTCGGAATATGAAGACGTCAACTGTATATGATTTTTTTTTAAAAATAGAGTACCTCCAAGTTCCATGATATTGTTCCACGAAAATGTGTCTTGTGTATCAGATCCTCTTCGTGCGTCCAGGGTTCTCAAGTCCTTTGATAAGCCTTTGAAATCCAGATAGTCTTTAGACTGCATTTGGTTCACTTGGTAAGGCTTTTGAGGTTGGGCAAGAGACATCACTGTTACTACCTGAGAAGGAAGGAACAAATCCCCAGCCCTCTTCAGGGCATGTCCTATTGCACTGTGTGCAGAATCACCCTCGTTCTGCCGATGGTTTGTTTCAAAGAACCTCAATGAAATCTCTTCAAGATTCATACTATTGCTCACTGCATACAAAATCATCGCAGGCGTAATTGAATGTTTGTTCTGGCCACTGCACCCATCGTCGAAAAGAAAAGCTTTTTAGATGCCACGGTCGTCATAAAACTTCAGGGCACGGTGGACAGTAGTTGAAATTTTCAAGGATCCACGTTTGCTTTGCGTTTCATCCCAAGTGAAGCAGTGACAATCTCTGTTAGCAATGTTATGGAAAGTCAGGTTGTAGTTCGACAACCTCCTTTTGCAAAAGATGGCACTCTCCTGAGACATAGGGAGGTAAATCACCTGCTGCAAATCAAAACTTGCACAGAAAATGTTTCCACTTTCCTGAGCTCTTTCTTGCACTTGCATACATCCTTTATTTCCCTGACCTTTTCTTTTTCTCCCAAATAGATCTCAAACTTTTCCCTAAGACCTATCTTTGTTTCTTCATTTCCTTGATGATAATTGACACAAAGAGAGCACTGGTCAATTCCGGTGGATTGACAGATTTTTACTTTTGAATACATCGTTGTATGTACTGAAGCTTGGTGGCCTTGTTCTGGGTATCATTCCTGGATGAACACCGTTTGCTGAGTTCAGGGCTCAGGTACTCTTTTGTTGATTTTTCTCTAAAGTAATGAGATTCGACTTTAGGAAATCTGTCCAAGTGATCAGATGTTGCTTTGTGAACAAATACATCTCTTTCTCTTTCTGCCTCGGACTGTCTCCCACTTCGTTTGTCTTTCTCAGCTATACCAGTGGAAGTAACTCTGTTCAATGCCGTTCTGGCGCTCTGTTCTGAAATGCCCTAAGGTTTAAAGAAAAACAGTTTGCAGACTGGAACAAAACTCTCCCCAACTGTAAGCATGTACTGTCTGGTATTATTTCTTTGTGAATCGCCTTCAGTGTATTTCCTCTTTGTTTTACAGCATTTGACATGCCTCACAAGAAACTCCCGTTTCATTCTTAGATCTCCAAGGAGGTGATATGAATAAAAAAAATGGCCTGCCTCTGCTCGTCAGTACATTAATTGATGAGCATTGTTTCTTCTGCTTTGCACACGTGTCTCCTTTACATCTTGCTTTTATGTGTTTGGCGGGCACAGTCTTTTTTGTCTTCATGCTTGTGTACTCTTGTCCCAAATCCCTCTTCATTTTGGCTTCCTTCTGCTTGTTTGATTTGAGTTTCTTTTCCATTTTAACTTCTTTCTCATTCTCACTTCCCTCCACTGTGTACTGCTCGGGAACTGATCTTTGCATTCTTCCTCCCCCCACATCAATGACTGTTTCTTTTGTCTGAAACTGATCGGGAGCATCAGTGTTCACATTCACACCAGCGGGAATCTTAAACTTTGAGGGCCTACCAACAGCTTTTACACATTGTTTATTTTTTTTCCCTTTGACTTTCTTGTACTTTTTCCATGTTGAACACAGGATGCAATCTCTTCATTGAAATGATCAAAGCGAAGAAGGATTTCGCAATCAGGGCAAGCCGCCCATACTTCAGCATTGCACCTTCTGACCTCGCATGTTCCAGAATTGAATTCCGGATCGCCATCTGAGTCATAGTCACACACTGACATTTCATCACTGTCTGCCTCACTAAGCATATCAGTGTCCTTGAAGCACATACGTGTATCTATTTGTCCCTTAAAGTTCTCAGTAGCAGTAGGACACCCATGACTTTTGCAGTCTGTGAGTTTAAGAACTTCACCAGGGTTCTGCATGTCAATCAGAGTTTGAACAGTAGGGCTAAATGTCAAAGAAAGAGAGGTTGTTCGTGGGTGGTTGGCGGGTGCTCTGGTGTGGTTTGCTTCTTCTTTCCTATCAAACATCTATCGTCCTTATCTCCCCTCCTTCTTTTTTGTGTTTGTTACTCTCTTGTAACACCTCTAATCTTCGGCACTTATATGACCTTATTGTGTTGCGAGTACCGTAAAACTCTTACTAAAACAAAAAAAGGTTGTTCGGAGCGGGATCCCATTTGTAAACAAAGGACGAGTAAAAACGGATTTCTAGAAGTGGAGTCTGAGCATTCACTGTCTCACACGAAGCACACTGCTCACGTGTGTAGTTTAGCTTGTCTTCCCGCTCTCTAGAAGCGCTGCGCAATGTTTTTTTTGCCATAGGCTCAGCCCCTGCTGTGTGGCTTACGTTAGTATTGCCGTATAATAAAAACACAACAATGGGTCAAAATGTACATCACGCACTAGCGTAACCAACAGTGTGTTAGTACGTGCTGTATCTTTTTGTGGGCAAGTGGGATACGTTCAAACTGGATTCGACTATATCTCAGCTTTTAATCGCTCGATTCCTATGATCTTTTGAGAGGATGTAGTATCGGATAAAGGGAATCGCGTGATTGGTATAACTCGATTTCGGGTCAGATGTGGCTTACACTAGTACGTGTTTAGAGGGACGAAGTGAGGAAATGGGAAATGGCTGTTAGTCCAGGTGATTGCCTCTATAGAAGGCCACTAGAGCAGATTCTACTAAAGCTTAAGGGTAACAAGATTCAAGGATAGCCAAGAAAGATGAGGCCTCACAGAGTCCTGCAGACTGGCATCATCTCCTATTATGTCAGGCGCTATGACTACCAGAGGATAGATGTCTCCCTTTTATCCTGGAACATTAATCGTGGTAAAAGTGGCAGACAAAAGAAAGAAAGGAATAAAGAGACAAGACATTAAAACTGTCATTACAGAATAAAGAAATGAGCCCTAAATTTGAGAACAGGTCCGCTTGAAGCAACTCTTTCTTCCTCCAGCCCACATATATAACAATCCCTCCTACCTCACGATCAGACATGATAATGCTTAAACAATAGGCAAATGCCGATCCTAGAGAAAAGCAGAGTTATAAAGGACACTGCATCATGATTTCAAGCATTAAAAAGTGCGTGTGGTAAGAAGTAAATCTCTTGTCTCGGTTTTAAAAATTAAAAGTCAACAAGACCTATAAACTACAACAGCCAAAATAAAGTATTGAAAAGGATTAGAAATAGGCAGAGGACAAACAAGACTGTCCAGAAGGAAAAAAATATCCAAGACCGAGAGCCATTTTTTAAAAAAAGGGGAAATTTGGCCTTCACAAATGCTTCATTCACCATAAAAAATCATAAAATAGTTTTACATCTACGCATTCACTATGAAAAATCTTTAAATACTAAATAATAATACCTCTACTCAACATGTAAAAATAATGAAATGGTTATACTTATACACTCACTGTGGGAATCTCTAAATAGTTTATAACAACACACACCATGAAAAATCATAAACGAGTTCTATCTATGCACTTACCATGAGTGTAGAAGAAATGCCTGTAGTAATAGGCCCCATGGTCTACGTACTCTATCACATGCCCTCGATGTGACACAAGCGGAGGCAATATCTGACCAGAGGGTGACGGTGACGAGTCCAAGATGGCTACACCGCAGCAAGCGGGGTGCCGCACCAGGATGGTGTCCATGGGGGGTTGTGACACAGGGGATGAGCCAGTGGCCGACACTCTCTTGTGTGCGGTCAGTTTGGTCAAGCTTACAGTCCTCTCATCCTCTCCTCCCAACTCATTGCGGAAAAACGGGCACGACAAAACCAGTTCATTGCTCTTCCCATCCCCTTCGTCCGTGTCCGCTAAAATGTCTGGATCATCCTTGTCAGGGGCAAGACTTGACCGCTGCCCTGAGGCGGCAGAAGCGCCAGTGGTCATGTTGTTCTTCAAGGACCCCCCATGGATGCGCTGATGAATGACTTGAGCCAAGTCCACTCCCACAGACTGACAGTCAAAGTGGACAAAGATTCGCCGGCGAGAGTGGTCCTCTGGCCGGCCTGGCAGCTCATCTCCAGCACTGACACGATCTTCTGACTTCAAAGCTGACACTTCAGACTCCATTTTACCCCGCAGTTTCTTCAGAATACTGGCACTACCCTCACCCGTTATAGATTTGGCCCTCTGCTTTCTCTCTTTGTGTTTGGTTTTGTTTTTATTACCTTTCCCAGAATCCACATCATCCGTTATCACATCTTTATCAGCAGAAGTTAATCCATTCAAGAATTTCACCGAACCTTTGGCTGATTCTGCGGTCTGTATGTGAGGCTCAGATGATGCCTCGAGGCGACCCTGCAGAAGCTCTTGAAGGCGAGGTGGGGCTGGGCTGCGCTGGTCCAGGGCATGATGCTGCCGGAACTCACTGATCATGGAGAAAAAATTGTCTGTGCTTGTGCCGAGGACGTCCAGAGAGGAGGTACTGCCGTACTCACGATGAAGGGTGGACGGAGCGGGAGGGGGTGTGTCCAACTCCACACTGTCCACTTCTAGGTCACTGCTGCTTCGGTGGAGCATTGCTTTGTTGGTGGCGTAAGTACGGGCCGGCTTCTGTGGAGCCGGAAGCTGTTGTTGTTGATCTTGCTGGCCATGGTGCACTGGGTTTGCTGGCGATGGTTGTTGCTTGCTGTCAAGAGCATAGGTTTGAGTTCGAGCCCTAGGCCCTGTGTGAGGCCCATGGAACGTCCTTGCTCTATTCCTGGTCCCCGCTCCTATACGCTCATTGTATGAGCTCCTCATGTCTATAATCCCCGCCCTCATCTTGGCCCGGTAGAAGCTGTTGCTTGTGGGAGGGGCCATGGCTGTATCAAAGGTGTCCTCTGCCAGGACTCGGCCCACATTGCTGCTGTAAGCATTGCCGCTGCCGCCACCACCAGCGACATTGGAAGGAGCACTGCTGTTACCACGACCAGCGTCAGCAGTGTACCCTTTGTTATTGCTATAGTTTTCGGCGTACTGTTGAGGAGGCATGCGGTAATCCCTGCTGGACATAGAGCTGGGGGACGCCAGCCCACTGGCCTGGTCCACACCCCGGTAGTCTTGCTGCTGCTGGTAGTACTCAGCAGCTTTTTGTGCCCGCTGCCGCATAACGTCCAGGTTACTGCCTGAACCCATTGGCATCTGACCATCAGTGGCCATTGTTGCATTTCCCTGACAAATTGGGAAACTGGAGATATTAACACATTCACATCTGTGGACAAGTAGAAAAAAAAACACTATTAAAAGCTGGTTGAGTTATGAGAAATCATCAAATGTTCACAAGAAAGATTTTTAAAATTTAAATAGGATTTTTTTAATTGTTTAAATTTTTTTTTATATGTCGACACAGTTTGGGATTTTTGGTGACTAAAGGTATGTTCTTTTAGTGCAAAATGCATTGTCTTTATTTTAAATGATGATTAATTTAAGCAACTGCAATTTTAGAAAGCCTTAATCTGCTATATCAGTGAATTATGGCTACAGACAAAAAATGAAAATGTCAGTCTAAAAGGAAGGGGGGGGGGGGGGGGTAATTATGCATAGATAAACTTGCATTTTATTACAGTGTGTGTGTGTGGGCGCGCTTGTGTTTGTCTAAAAAGAAAAAGAAAATGCTAATTTCAATTATGAAAAAAAAGTAAATTGAATACTGTATTATTTTACTACTTACAGTGACAGGGGGGAAAGCAGACATTTAAGCAACTTTAGTCTACTAAACCTTATATCTGTTTTATAAAACCAAGGAAAGGAATTCTGAATGTTTAAAGATTTAAAAACAGAATACCTTTTTTAAAGTGATTTAAATCACTGAGTTTTATTTTTAAAACCAAGTTGATTTAAATTTTAAAAAATCAACTGATTTAAATTGACCTGATTTAAATCTACCCAACCCTGGTTTTCAATAATGAAAAAAAAAGTAAATTGAGAACTGTATTATTTTACAGTGACACTGTTTCATAAAACCAAGGAAAGGAATTCTGAATGTTTAAAGATGTAAAAACAGAAGTAGAAGACATTTTTTTAACGAAGTGACTATTCGGACTCGAGTCCGAATATGAAAAAATGTTATTCGGACTCTGATTCTTGTCCAGCATGACATCACTTCCGACTTCCTGTGACTCGTGACTCCGGCTTCCTGTCCTGCCTCACTCGTGACTCGCCCCAGGCTGGGTAGAGACCGGGATCACTTCGGGCAAAATGGCGTTAAATTGTGCCGGAGCCGAGTTTTTATCTTATGATGAATTTGAGGCCGGCCTGAAAAGTTTAGAGCGCTTCTAATAAATGTTTAATAAATGTTTATTTGTCAAGAGGTCATCAGAAGCAATTAAAGATGGCTCGTTAGCGTGTGTCGGGGTCGGATGGGCGGCCTGCACACGTGTGGCTGTGCGTGCGTGTCGGGGAAGCGCTTTTCCCTTTCGTCAACCCGCAGCCACCTCCCGAATCGTCAGCCACCTCCCAACCTTTGACACGGGTCAAACTTCCATCTATTTATAGGTAGTTAAATCTACCGGAACATGTATTAGGCGAAGTGATGTGCAATGATAGTCGCAATAGAGAAATTGTTTTGGTCTCTCTTTACTCATCTGCACCACACGAATTTAATTGATGTTTTTCCCTGGACTCTGCCTTTACTAAAGTCTCGAATCTAGATCTAGTTGTAATCTAGTTGCAGGTTGCAGATTTAATAAATTGCCGAGAGAGAGAGAGAGAGAGAGAGAGAGAGAGAGAGAGAGAGAGAGAGAGAGAGAGAGAGAGAGAGAGAGAGAGAGAGAGAAGGGGGAAGAGTAGATCTTGCGAGAACTTCCGGGCAAAACAAAATGGCGACCCGCGTAGTTCGGCTCGATTCGAAAAGTGAAAGAGCCATAGCATCTTTGTAGACGATCAAATTAGCTTACTTTTGTGCTATAACGTCATTTTTTTCTTTGCTTTTGTCAATTTGATCATCCACACCGATAGAAAGTATTTCGAAATTAGGAAAAACAGGTCTTGTTTCACACTGGGTGAGAACCAACGCTGGCAAGTCTCACCTGGGGTGAGAAGTCAATCGTAGGGTTTTTATTCTCACCCCGCGCCGGGTGAGGATAGCCACTTCCTTACGTAAATGATTAGGTGATTAAACTTGATCTCTTATTGACAATATTAAAGTCAATTTAAGCTTCATTTCGATAGAAAAAAATGTGTTAGGTTTGCTAACTTCTTAGACTTTGTGTTAACACTTTTAACAAAACGAATCCTTACAAGCCTAGGCTTGGCCTTTGTAATCTCGAAGGTTTAGAAGTAGAAGTAGAAGTAGAAGAGTCTACTACTAGAGTCTAGAGTCTAGTCCAATTTATTTAATCTCTTGAATGTACTGGATAACAGAAATCTGCAACCTACCACTAGATTACAACCCTAGATCTAGATCTAGATTCGAGATTTTAGTAAAGGCAAAGTCCATGAAAAAACTTCCAAGAAATCTCGTGGTGATGAGTAAAGAGAGACCAAAACAATCTCAATAAATAATATATCGCGACTATCACGGCACATCACTTAACCTATACATGTTCCGGTAACTACCTATAAATAGATGGAAGTTTGACCCGTGTCAAAGGTTGGGAGGTGGCTGACGATTCGGGAGGTGGCTGCGGGTTGACGAATGGGAAAAGCGCGTCGGGGAAGGGGAGGGGGGGCGCTATCGGTCCGGGCGTTGAACGTCGCATACGCGTCATCCCCCCCCCCCCCCCTCCGGCAACTGATCATTATTACAATAATAAGCTAGTCTGGACGTAGATATACGCGTAATGAATTGTGAGCTGGTCTATGGAATCAAAAGTTGCCGTATGCTCGGCTCTACACAGCAACACAACTTTTTCTTGATAAACAATCGAGATGACACAGGTTTGTGTATTTGAACGAATCGGTCTTTTTTTTTTTTACACAGCTCATAATATGCAGGTGCCAGGAGATCTGCTTATCTTCAATTTTACCTTTTTCTACAACAAAGAAAGTGGGAAACATGGGGGGGCGGGGGGCGGTGGCGTATCAATGAGGCGGCGGGCATCGGATCGGCAGACAAGGTGTGGGGGAAACTAAAAAATGGCGGAAAATTGGAAGCACTTCCTTTTCTCTGGACCTGTGTCCGAATAACATTTTTTCTTATTCGGACTCGAGTCCGAATATGAAATTTAAAGTTGATTAAAATATTTTTAAAATCAACTGATTTAAATCAACCCAGCTCTGATTTCAATTATGGAAAAAAAAAGTAAATTGAATACTGAATTATTTTACAGTGAAAGGGGAGAAAGCAGACTTTTAAGCATGATATTAGTCTACTAAACCTTATATCTGTTTTATGAAACCAAGGAAAGGACTTCTGAATGTTGAAATGTGAAAAAACTGAATAAAAATAACTTTTTTTAAAAGTGATTTAAATCATTGATTTTTATTTTTAAAATCAAGTTGATTAAAAAATTTTTTAATCAACTGATTCAAATGAACCCAACCCTGCCTTAAATTTGTTTCCATTTATTTCATTACCAACACAAAAACCGAAATATTAAAATCATTTCCTGGTTTTCTTCTGCCTCACTTTGCTGTTGATGAAGTACATGTGTGAGGCAGAAGAAAACCAGCCCGTGCCATTTAATCCCAGGATGGACTCACTATCTCTTTGCATGCATTGTATCAATACCATATTTTGTTGAGACAAAGTGCTGCTGTTGATTATTCCCTCCTTAAATTGAACCCCCAGTCAACATGACTGCCAACGGAACTAAAATCTCAAGCATGTCATTTTAAAAGAAGTTAATAAGAAAAGAGTACCAAAAGCACAGGCAGAATATCAAAGAGAGATCAACAGTCTACAGTTTATTTGGGAGTATGCGAAAAAGTTCTTTTCAAATGTTATGAGACTTCCCAAACAACACACACTTTCTTCCAAGCACTAGCTTCATAGGCAACAATTTCTGTGGACCTATTTAATAACTTTCATATATATCTGGGGAAATCTCTCGTCCAGAAACTGTAAAGGGGCAAACTGAGAGAAATCCAAAAGCATAACATCAGCTTGCAGAAGGAACTATTTCTTTATTTTATGTATAGTCAGTGTCAATATGAACAGAGGCAGCAATCTAAATGGCAAACTACCCACCTGTTTAGCTGCTCATGGACTGGTCAAGGATGAAAGGCTGTATATCTGTTGTTCTGACCCATAAGAACAAATGCTTTGGTGAAACTTGGCCCTCAGAGGCACTTGCCCATCACTGAAATTAGAGGGGGAAAAAAGAGAGAGAAAAATTACATCACAGTCAGTACAATTCTAACCCTTAGCAAATATTCTTCAAATGACTTAAGACTTGGCAAAAGAGATACTTTTTTTTCAATAGGTCTGCCACATTTTCAGGCAGTTCACACTTCACTCGCTGAACTCACTGTAATGTTCCATGTGGAGAAGAGAAAATTTTAAAATATAAATTCACCTGTTTCTATCAAACAAAGCCCTACAGGCTGTGGCGACCAACATCCCAACCATCAGAAAGAAAGCATCGCTCACGCTGTCTTTACTTTGATTGTAAACAAAAAGGCTTACAGAACACAACAGTCAGCTAACATTTTGGTTCAAAATTCTGTGTGTGTGTGTGTGTGTGTGTGTGTGTGTGTGTGTGTGTGTGTGTGTGT